CAGGAATGCAAATAACCGAGGAGTTACTCTGCCAGGCCCTTCGCTGAGCACCAGGGAGGCCAAGTGGAATCAAACACAGATTCTGCCAGTCTAGGAGCTTAAGGCAAGCTGGGGAGGCAGAGGATGAAAACAGTAATATTTAATTAATCGTAAAGTTATAATTTCGTCTCATAAATCATAAAAATATAAAAGTAAAACTACTCTGTGGCCAGTGCAGAAAGAGGGAGCCAGGAGAATGCAGGAGAGGGGTCCCCAGTCCGGCTGGTGTCTGCCAAAGCTTCCTGGGTAGGTGACATCTGGGCTGCGCCCTGCCCAGTGACCAGGACTGAACTGGAGGACTGGCCCATGGTTGGAGAGTGCCATGCTTCCCTGACCCCGATGCCAGAGGCTGGCTCTGTGGCTGTGATTCTCTAAAGGGGAAGCTGGGCGGGGAGGGATACATTCAGAGTATGGGATCAACAGATACGCACTATGTGTATAAAATAGATAAACAGGATTTACTGTATAGCACAGGGAACTGTATTCAATATCTTGTAACAACCTATAATGGAAAAGAATCTAGACATATACACATGCATAGCACATGGGCACACACGCCATACACGTCACGTACCACACGCCCACAATGCCCACGCACACACCCCACTATATCCTGGCTAGTGCATAATACAGGAAACTGTACCTGCCGGTGTAGAGATTAAATAACAACAATAATCATAATTTCGAAGAACTTTACATGTATTTATTAACTCCTTATTGCTCACAGCAACTCTTGGAAGAGGAGACTATTAACTCACCCCAAGTCACATATGAGGAAATGGGGAAGGAACTTGCCCAAGGTCAGGTGACCCGTAGAAAGCAGAGCCAAGATTCTCCGAGGCAGGCTGTCCCTCATCCCAATGCCGTAGCCCTTCATCTGTCTGGCCTCAGTTTCATGCCACATGCAGGGGTTACCTGGGCCTCCAGCCTCCCTCCTCTCCAGAGGGAAGATGTTCCTGCTGCCAGAAGGCACCCCTACCCACCACCCACCTGCCCATCTCTGCCCATCTGACGTTGACCATGCTTGATCTGCCATCAGAGCTAGGCTTTGCAGTGGAGGGAGGCTGCCCTCCAGAGGTTCCTGTTAAATACAAAGCGGGTTAATTGGCACTCGTTCAACAAATATTTAACGAACTCCTGTTAAGTGCCAGGCACTGTGTGTGGTGTTGCAACACAGTGATGAATAAGATAGGCCAGGTCCCCACCCTCTCGGAGAAATAAAGCATTAAACGAGGATACCCACCAACACATATAAGACAGCAAATGATAAGGATGCTTAGAAGGGCCCCAAAATAGTTGCTCTGAGCAAGAATAACGGGTGGTCCTGTTAGATTGGGAGAAGACTGTGAAGGAAGGGCTTTTGAGGAAGGGATCCTGGTGGCTTCCCCTGCTCCAACCATCCCCTCCCACGCGACGCGGGTGTAGATGGCACCAGGATGCTGGCTCGGCGAAGAGGCAGAGGTTCACGCATCTCTTCGGGGGCTCTGGGTATGAGTGTGTTGGGGGTGGTGATATTTGGCTCCAACTGTGAATCAATTTCTCTGACACATACACCTCAGAGGCAGCCCTGGTCACCTGCACTGGGCCGTTGGAACCGTTCCTTCCAGCCAACATATTTTTACACAAATCACTAATGAATAAGAAGGATAGTTTGAGATGGTGACAAACGCTCAGAAGGCAACGTAATAGGATGACACGAGAGGGACGGGTGGAGGGAGCTTGGGGCCACTTCAGAAAGGAGATGGAGGTTACCTGAGGAGGTAAAGGAACCAGCAGTGACCACATCTGAGAGGACAGAGTTCCTGAGAGAAGAAAAGGCTCATGGAGAGGCCCTGGGGCAGGAGGAAGCTGGTTTGTTTTAGAATAGCAAGGAAAGCAGTGTGGCTGGGGGGTGATCAAAGGGGAGCGTGGCACAAGATGGGTTTGAGGATGCTGCCAGCGGCCTGATGGGGACTCCTAGGCCACCGTAGGGAGTTTGGCCTTTGTTGTCAGGGCAGCGGGAAGTCATTCAAGTGAAGGAGGGACACAATCCAAATTGCATTTTCACAAGATATCTCTGGCTGTCGGGAAGAGAGTAGGAGTCGGGGGGCTGTGCTGTCATCCAGGGGAGAGAGGATGGTGGCACCAGACAGGGTGGTGACAGTGGAGGGGAGGGTTGCGCTCGGATGCACTGTGTCACTGGAGATGACGGGGACTCGAGGTGCAGTGGCACAAGGACAGCGGCTGGCCGCGAGAAGCATCACAGGGCGAGGAGTCCATAGCCCTGGCTGCAGGGAC